TAAGGTTAATTCTTAAATTCAAGATAATGATAATTCAAGTTTATTTTTAGCAAGACAAAGATTCGATAGGACTCTCAAATAAAATCCTAAAATATATATGATTTTTCAAAAAGTAGGTAATATTTCTTCAGGCAATGTCCATTGTTGGGAAGCATGAAACGTTCACCCTTACAATTAATTAATTGATACGGACCCCCTTGATAAACTTTCTCTATAATAAATGGTCTATACCAAGGTGATTCAAACATACTAGCAATTTTCCAGTGAGTAAGGATCGATCTTTTAAGGGCTAAGACCAATTCACTAACTCAAAAAGTCCTAAATAGAACTAGTTTATTATGAGCTTAAACCATTTGTGCTAGATATGATTTAAGATTTTGCTGAGTCGAGAAGTGGGTTATTCTAATCCTTCTAGCTCTTCTAATCGCAATTTGATGTTGTGTTCTGGAAATTGTTTTTGACAAGTGGCAATCCGTAGGGAAAAAAATTGTACTTATAAGTGGAGTACAACCTCAGATCCATAAACTAAGAAAAATGGAGTGGAATGAGTTAATGTTCAATATGTGATTCAATAAGAATATAAGGCTTCCACCAATTGATCGTGACACTACCATTTGTTACTTTCAAGTATTTACATTAGGATTTGTGTCAAATTTTGTTAAACACTTCAGCTAATCTATTTTAAAGTGGCTTTGACTATTCTTATTCATCATTAGTAATGTTATGTGTGGATTTGTTTAAACAATGAAGGACACACATTTTTATTGTTTAAGCCATGAAAAAGATTGAGAATCACTTAATAGCCTTTTCATGGAATAAAATTAAGGAATAAAATTAAAAGAAAAAAAAAATATGAGAACTCCTTAAAAGGGTTGATATTAACGCCATGCAAGGTTTTGAGCTGCCTTGTCATAAAATACTTAAGGGTGTTCACACTTTATATAAAAAAAGAAATTACACAATGAAACTAAGTTATCAAGAATATTAATATGATTATATAAATCATACATACATTTCTATATCTTTAAAGTTATAACTACGAAATTGGAATGGAAATTCTCTTCTAGAGTTTCTAAAAAAAGAGAGAATCATAGGCACCATGATTTAGAAGAAAAGCACAAGTTATATTTTATTATGATGGGATGAATAATATTTACATTGATAACAATACTGTTCCCTATACTCTAAGAGCTGATAGAGGAGTTTTATGCAATGTATTCAATGAGGTTGATTATGGATAACATAACTAGCAATTTTTTATGAGGCTTATGATTTGTTATTATAGAGTTTCAAAACTAATATTTGGTAATGAAGTGGTTATCCCTTAAGGGCTTCCTAGAATGTGCCAAAATGTTTGATGGTGTGGGATGATCAATTCGTATATTGTTATTATTGTTAAGAAATGAATTTCTTCAAATACTTCCCTTTTTTTATAGAAGCACAAAAATAATATTCCTAAAATGACACCAAAATTGAACAAAAAAACTTAGTTCAACTTAACTAGTAGAAAATAAATTTATTTAAAAAGATAGATAAATTTTGTAGATTATGAAAAGAAACTGGAGTGTATTGTTACAAAATTATCTTATGAAGAGTTTAGAGTTGAGATATTGTAGTGGTAAGGAAATGATATGGGTTTAGATTGCTTGATCTATAAAAAAATGTATTTACTATTAATGATCATTTATGATATAGTATTACAAACACTTGCACTACATGGACCAAATATAAAATCTATAATAAGAAGGAAAAAATATAGCAACAATTAAAATAAGAAGTTTATTTTATAAGCTTATATTTTTCATGTATCTGCTAAATTTATAAGAAAAATATGTTCAACAAGACAATACCTTGCACACTTTCTTGATCAATTTTTACATGAATTTTCATACAAATTGCTTAAAGTTTATGTTTGATGACATAAATATCATTTTGTTAGCCTTTATTTATCTTTTTAACCTCACATAGAAGTTACAAGTGCGTAGGAGTTATAATTTATGCCTTCCGTAGTTTAAACCCCAAAAACTAACCACAGGGAGTTCAAGAAGCCAATAATTACATGGAAAGAGAAAGAGACAGAATGTTATCCAGGGGGAGTTACAAAGTATAAGAGATGAAGATCTATTATTATTGATGCCATGATTTAATAAAATATGAAGAGACCATCCTTAAAACTTACATATTTATATCATTTTTTTAAAATTGACTCTTCTTATAATTTCTTATGTCGCTTTATAGCGAGTGAAAAAGCCCAGGAAAAACTTGAATTATGGAGGTCTACATTGGAGTCTAAAGGCCTTCGTTTAAGTAGAACTAAAACTGAATACATGGAATGTAATTTTAGTAGTAATAGCTCTAGTGACAGAAGTGTGACTTTGGGTGATCAAATTATTAAAAGGTGTGAACGATTTAGATATCTTGGGTCCGTTGTCCAAAGCGATGGTGATATAGATGGGGATGTTAATAGTAGAATTCAAGTTGGTTGGTTGAAGTGGAGGAATGCTTCGGGCCTTTTGTGTGATAGAAAAGTACCGCTAAGACTGAAAGGAAAATTTTATAAGATGGTTGTGAGACCTGCAATGCTCTATGGCGCTGAATGTTGGCCTTTAAAAGAGAAGCATAATAATAAGTTAAGTGTTGCCGAGATGAGAATGATTAGGTGGATGAGTGGCTTTACACTTAGAGACAAAATGCAAAATGAATATATTCGTGATAGGGTTGGTGTAGTTCTTGTGACAGACAAAATTAGAGAAAGTCGTCTTAGATGGTTTGGTCATATTAAACGTCGACCATTAGATGATCCGATTAGGAGAGAAGATGTTTTAAATTCGACTTGTGTTAAGAAAGGCAGAGGTAGGCCTAGGAAGAATTGGGCTTATTGTATTAAAAATGATCTTAATTTACTAGAACTAAATGAAAATATGACACTAAATAGGACGCAATGGAGAAAAAGGATTCATGTAGCCGACCCCACGTAGTGGGATTAAGGCTTTGTTGTTGTTGTTGTTGTTGCTTTATAGTCTTATGATTTTTATTTTTACCATAATGTAAATTCAATATGTATCATTGAAATTTTAGGATATAAAACATACTAACATGAAAATACAATTGAGATTATTCTCTTTTTTCCAAACTTAATATGGTGGAAAGTTTAGTATCCTTTCATTTGATGAGGGCATGGTTTTTATCCAATTACTTTCGAATATGTGGGCTCTCTTATTTCTTATGATCTTCTTTCACGATTCCATTAAACTAAAACATCACTTGATCGCTTTCATCGCTTTGAATATTATCAAAAATACTACCTAAGTATATTGAGCCTTGAAATATCATAGTTGAATATATTTTGACTCTAGGCGGGACTTCTTAAGAAAAATTCACCAGATACTGAAATGTAGGGAATGCCAAGGTGGAAATTCATGAGAACTAAAATCATTTGATGCATAACATCTAATGTTGTAATGGATCAAAATGATAAGCCAAATTCGAGGCGCATATTTGAATTTACTAACTATTTATTAAGCTTGGGGTTTTTCCTTTCTTAAAAATTGATGATTTTTTGTGACAATCATTGAGGTTCAAATTTTTGTCTCAGTCCAATTTGTTAGCCTCACATGAAACATATTATTTTAGAATATTACTCTTTCTATGAATAGTTTCAAAGGAACACTTCATGAGTGTGTCGCGTACCCTGGCCCGCTGGTTGGCATCCACGATATAAGGTCGGGTGTTCTAATCCCCTCTGGCACAGTTGGCCTTAAGGAGGTGGTACTCGAATTGTTAGGCACATTGGTGGTGATTGGAAACTTGTATAATAGCCTCTAGCCATTTCATTAAAAAAAAGGAACACTTCATGTGTGACTCATATGCCTTCTAGTAATCAATTGGTTAATGTTCTCACTAAATTTTGTACACACGTTTTCTCAGACTTCGTTTGACATTACTTTTTTGTTTATAGAAGCCCATTTAAAAATAAATTTTTAAAAAGTTGTGATATAACTTTACAGTTTCTAACATTATTAATTTGTTTGAATTAAACTTCAACCTTAAAAACTACCGCTAGGTCACTTGCCTCACTCGCATCGGCTCCGAGCTTGCCCTGCACGTCCTCTCATTTTTTCCTCTAATCTCCTTGTCTCTCTCCCTCACTTTCTTTCTCTCTCTACACATTTTCTAACCCTTCCTTCTCTATTACGTCGACAGAGAGGAAAAGCAGAACTAAGAGACCGTCGTGGAGATGTGACAGAACTTCAGGTTGAGCTCCAATGGCCTCCCGATCAACTCAAAGGAAGATCGAGAGCCGACAAGATGGGTGCAGGTGAAAGATTCGTGCTGGTTCTCGCCGATGGTGATGTGGCCCAGGTGTTCGACGCTCCTTGCGCTCCTCAACAAGATCCGAACGCAATTTAGAAAACTGAAACAGAGAAAGATCTTCACGATATGAAAACAAAGAATATCAACATTTCGGTAGAAGCGCTTCTTTGGAAATTCATCGGCCAAACGAATGGCAGGAATTCTCGCAACCTTGTCAGTGATGGAAAGAAGGCAAGCTTTGATCCCAAATGAAGCCATCATATCAATGTAGGATTTATCTGGTGGAGGTTCATCTTGTTTGGGGAAAGATAAAAAAAAATACCTATAATTAAGAATGTAATTTATTTCCATCTTTATACATTTTTTTATAGGAAATTAATTATTTTTAGGAAAAGCAATCATTTTATCCTCTATATTTGTCAAATTATTTTCAGAGCTTATGAATACCCGATGCAGGCGTTAACTTGAAATAGTACATCAAAAAAATATTTATGAATACCATAAAATTTCCGGGCACGCTCTTCTGCGCACCCGCGAAGCACATTCCATGAGCAGTCTCGAGAAAAGAGCAAGGAATATGGAGATCAACTAACGAATCAAAACACGCCACGTATGCGGCACAGCAAATCGAAATGTCTAGTCTACCTACCAGAGCATTGCGCTTTTCAAAAGTATTCGAGAATTTCTTAAGACCTGACCGTTCACCCCGCGAATATGCCTCTGGGTGCTCTGTAATCTCTTCTTCCTTTTCCTAACACCATTAAAAGCCACCGACCCATCATTCCACTTTCTTTTTCCCTCTCCGACGAAATACATTTTTGGCATCTTGGAGTGGAAGCGAAGGCAGAGGCGAAGAGAAGGGATAAAGAAGAGGAGGAAAATGGAGTTGGAGTTCTACCAGGAGCTTCTCCTGACCGCTGCCTTCTCCGTCCTCTGCGCCTTACTCATCAGCAAGATCATCGGTGGTGATGAAGAACGCCTCGATGATGCCGTTGCATCGTCCGATATTCTTGATTCCGGGGAGAAGATGCCTAAACCAGCGGCGGAAGAACTTGATGAGATCGTTGATGGGTATAGAGCGGAAGAGGAACTTATCGGATCTGAGCGTCAAATCGCTTGCGTGAAGGGAGGTTCTTCAGAAAGATTGGACAAGGCGAGAAGTGGTGGCATGGAAATGACGTCCGATGCGGATGTTTTGGCGGATGAGGACGAGGAGGAGATTAATGCGAAGGAAATCGTTGCGGCGGTGGTTATTGACAGAGATGATGCTGACAAGGAAGAGGCAGAGAAAGGGGAGGGGATGCAGGTCGAGTTGTGTTCATCTGAAGTGAAAGTTGAGTGCGCGGATGGGACCGAGATTGGTAGTGGGAGGGGAGAGGATGTCAGCTTTGAGATCAAGAAGGGATCGCTGCTTCACGGGGAGGACGAGTGGGAGGGGATTGAGAAGAGTGAGCTGGAAAAGCTTTTTGGTGTGGCGGTGCAATTTTCTGTTAGCTCAACTGGTGCGGAGGCGCTGGCCCGGCTGAGTAGAGATGTTCAGATGGAGTTGTACGGATTTCACAAGGTTGCGATGGAGGGGCCCTGCAATAAGTCGCCGCCATTGCCATTGAAAGTGTTTGCTCGGGCGAGATGGTAATTAATCTACCTTTCTTTCTTGCTGGAAAATGCTCCTGAATGCTGATTATTTATTTATTTATTTTTAACATTGTTTAGCTGTGAAAGAGACTATTTGCTTGAAGACTTTAAAATTGATTTCTGGGTGGTTATTGATTGGAAATTTTTGGTTTGCTTTAACGTGTCGTAATTTTAATAAGAGCTTTTAGAAGATTGAGGGAAAACAAAGTCAGGTACTTCTTTAAACATCTGGAGCAAAATGAGCATTCGCGATTTGATATGCCAAATGAATTGACTTCCGAAGCTGGACCATTATGCGTTATTGCTTGGTTCATTTTATTGAAGCTTGGTTTCAGTAACGGAAACATGGGCAATTTTCAAGATGAAAGAGGTTACAACATAAATTACTAAAGCAATCTAAACTTATTATGTAAAAGCAGTCATCTGGGCAGAAGATTTGTATCAAGATATCTTGATTCAAATATATTTAGGGTGGATTTTATTGCAGTTGTATTTACTTTGAGATTTGTACAATACAAATTTTTATTAATTATCATTTACTAATTTCAATGAAAATCCAACGCTAATAAAATTCATCCTCAATAAATTCGGGTCAATCCAAATAAAATTTTCTTGTTTATCTGGAAGGAGAAATTGCAACTCATATTGGTATGAAAAGCTTCTAGGTTTGAATTTAAAGAAAATTTTAGTTTTCAATGCCTACATGATGGCATTTACATGTGCAAAAGTATTTACTGACGTTGCACACCTATATGAACTACTCTGGTCGGTAACTTTGTTCAGGCGATTCTTTGCTGCTTTGAACCCTCCTCCTTGGTCCTTCTGGAAATTCTAATGTATCAGAGGGCACTTAATAGATTTATTTATTTGTGCTAGATATCTCAACAACCTTAACTTATCATTCTATTGTCCAAATTGAAATGGAAGTGTTAGAACTGGAAATCAGTTTTTTAGCAGCAGCTTATTGTTTTCCGAGCTAAGGCAATACTAAAACCTTATTGAATTTATCTCTAGTAAGCTTATTTTACTGTTTGAAGGCTGCTGCATTAATTTTTTTGTTGTCTTCTGTGTTAGTAATAAGACTATTGATTAATTAATGCAAGGCATGCTTGGCAAAAACTAGGAAGCATGACACCTGAGGAAGCGATGGAGCAGTATATTAGTCTTCTTTCTAAAAGCATTCCTGGATGGATTGTTGAAAGTTTGGCAGTAAGTCAAGCTGTTGGATGGAGATTCTTTTTTATTGTGGCATATATATATATATATATATATATATATATATATATAATCTGTTTGTGTGTACAAGTTTGAATGATCATCTCTTATATTAATTTTGTGTTGAAAACTTAATTTCTAGGAGGATGCCATGCTCATTAAGGCTAATGATTCCCTAGGGAAGGAGATATTGAATACAGAGCATCATGATTTGGACTCATCCTCACAAAATCAACTCAGTCCTGGAATAGAAAGGTAGCTTTATAACCCTGATGAACGCTTAAGAAACATTTTAAAAGTGTTATCATTTATTTTATTCCAGTAATGACTGGACGGTTAATGCATTTCTTTTACAGGAAATTAGAAGGGCATCATGATTTGGCTTCTCTTGAAGTTGAGAGTGCCACTGGAGGTTTGAAATTCCTAGAGCAAGGTTTGTTGTTCACAGTACCTACTTTTTATTTCAAATGACCATTTAGCCTTCAATGTCGGTAGTTATTGATTTCAAAAATTTGTGCTAGTAGTTTCTATGAATTAGTTGCGGATTTAGAAGTTTACTTGACAACAATATTTTTGGGGTTTGAATCTGGAAGTTAGGATTTGTCCTTTAATAGTTGATGTTTGTTATATCTGTAAGTATTTTGCAGAAAGCTTCCTCTAAAAAATTCTACCAAGACATGAAAATATCTGACAAGATATTAAATTCTCACCTTAACTAACTTGATGTTTCCAACATAGACTAGGAACATCAAAGTCTTAATTATCAAACCGAAGCAAAAGCCCCAAGTTTTCATCCCTTGAACTAGCTACCAACTCCAAAAGCTAATCAATCATCTATGGTTCTATGGGATAATCCTTGAATGTGGTAAAACATATTTGATAAGAAGGAATTCATTATGTCACAGCCAAGGCTCATAAATAATGAAAGCATTGTCACAAAATATCCCACAATCATAAAAACTTGAGACCTTAGCATGCTTAACCAATCCTTCCACACACATACTCCCAAAGTCATGCATACCAATAAGCCATCAAAATTCAAAGCCAAGCACCCTCTTAAGTCATTAGTGCTTTCTCAATCAAAAGAGATAATTAACTATTATGGGCCATAAAAAATCCAAAAATGCAGATCAATATGTCATAAAATGCTAATTGATGTCTTTGCTCGTAGTACAATGCTTGCTTTCTACTTCCCTAATATGAATTGGATGTAACAAGAAGTCTTCTAGAAACTCCACTATACAAATACCAAATTAGTTTTGTGATAGGCTTACCTATTATGTATGATAGGTACTAGCTTCTAATATGTGATGTGATATGTTATATCAATTTAATAAGGAAATAAGGCTATAATTAAGTGTGATAGCTAGGGGCATAATTTAGAGGCAATATTAAATGTTCCCTACCTTACAAGTAATAATGTATTTTGAACATTAATAATTTGTTATCAGAACAAACAATAACTTTTTTTTATGATGAACGTTGATCTATTAAAATTAAAATTGGCATTTATTAGGTTATAATTAAGTGTTTCTGTTGTTGCTATTGTTTTTGTTGTTTATTAAGTCATAGTTCCATGCAATTATTTTATCATCTTAGGGGTATCTTTCCTTTATTATGTTTGTTATGATAACGAGGTGATGTAGGGCGTTTTAGAGCCTTGAATTTTCTGATGCAAATTTAGGAGGAGATACAAAAAATCATGCAGCATGGACACAAAACCTTACAAATTAAAAACTATGAATCTTAAAACTATTCATTATTTTCTTATGAAAGCCAAAAATATAGAAGTAAATTCACATGATAATTTAATGGCCTTATACTGTTAAGAACACGGAGATTCAAGAATATGATGCTACAAAAATCAAATTTGGGCAAAATTTGATTACACAAACAATCTACTGACAACCTTTTTGGCTGAAAATAAAAACTAGATAGAAAACATCACCAAAGCAAGAATCAAAGCTAAACTCTTGTATAATGAGATAACCTCTCCTGAAACTCATCAAGTTTCACTTGTTTAATGAGTTGATTCTTGAAATTCGTAATACTAAATCTAACTTAAAATTTATTCAGAACATTTTTTTTCTCTTTTTTATAGGTCTAATATTTATAATTAGTAAAGTCATTTGAAATTTCCTATATATTGATCATGACATTTTAAAAGAATTTCTTACTGTTGTTACTATAAACTTAGAAATTTCAATAATTGTTAGAGGCCACAGAAGACTAGTTGTAGACTGTGCAAAGTAATTGAGATAGGAAGAGATGATGTAGGTCTTTGACCTTTCAACCAGAGAAAGGCTGCAAGACTTTAAATTTGAACTCCAAATATCTATGAGGAATTGTAGGTTACAAATCTTAAGAATTGCATTGGGTGTTTCTGGAAGTAGTCACAGAACTTTATTGCCAGAAAAAAAAGATGCAGAGGAGGTTTGCATCAATATGCTTGGCTTAGAATAAGCTGGCTTTACTTTATTGCTTAATTAATAATAATCAAGCTAATTTGAACATAATTTTTTTACTTGTTGAAAAGTCCATAATGGCATTGAGATAAGATTATTATTGTTATTGTGACTTGTGTAAATAATGTATTTGATGCGAATCATGAAGAACTATAGATGGAAAATCTAAGGAATTGCTTTATAATTCGTAATGTAAAGTTAAATTAGATTAAGAATTGGACTAATATTACAAATTAATAGGATTTCTATCTTGTAAGCATTCAGCCCAGTTCATTATATGATTTTTATGGTCATTTCTTTCCAAAAAGTAATTTCTTAAGTGTTCTTAAATCATTTTGGGTATAGACTAAACATTATTCTAGCACTCAGTTTGAATTTCATGCATCTCTAATCCACAGATGTGCTAAACTTATAACTATAATAGTTTACAAATTATTTCTTGTGAATTCTTTCTACCAAATATTGCATATGACTAATAAAAAGTGCAATATGATATGATGTATGTAATATCAAATCTAAAACATTTATACACTTTCTAATAATTGCAGTGTAACTAATTGTAAGAGTAGAAGATGACGAAAAGGTTCATAAGGTTTTTAATGTAAATTTATTTTCAAAAATAAAACCGGCCCTACCCTATATATATATATATATATTAAAGGTGAAATCGATAATTGGTCTAGTGGGCACCAACTATTGATTTTCCTAATGGGTTGAAAACCCAGGTGTGCTTGTCGAAGAGCCCGCGCCACGGGATTCGAACCCCGACCCGAGGGACTTACGCCAGAAGCCGCACCAATGAGCCATTCTGCTAGGGTTCCGCCCCACAGTGAACCCTAGCTTCTCGCGTTGCTTCCTTTCTACTTCAGGATTCAGCATCGTCTCGCGTCGCCTGCTTTGTCTTGGTGGTCTACTTCCATTCCCGTCGTCTGCTTCGTTTCCTGTCTGAGCCTCGTCTCAGCCTCTGGTGTAAGCGGCTGCTACAGATCCTGCAGCTTTTCTTCCTGCTGCAGCTTGGCACTAGCTGCGGTAATGGTCTCAGGGCTTCCTTACGCCGCCGCCCTCACCGGTGATATCCCCGCCAAACCCTCCTATGCTATAGTGGTTCACAAACGCAGCTCCACTTTTCACCTCGCAGATAGTGCGGTATTCCCGCAGAGTTACCTTGATTCTGTTGCAGGAAATGACGATTGCAATCTCATAAAAAAAGTAGAGAGAAAGACGGGCAAACCAGCAATTTTCTTCTTTGACGCTGAAATTTTAACTCGTGTAGGAAAATACAAATTTATACTAGTTGGAAAGTTTCAATTAGGTTGCCTGAAGATGGAGATCATCAGGAAGGTTTTTTAAGATTTCAAACTGGTTGGGGATTGACAGGTGAGTCATTTCGATGGAAGACATGTTATGATACAGCTGAGCATAGAAGATGATTACACGAAGATTTTTTCAAAGAAATTCATCACAATTGAGGGAAAACATATGAAATTGCTCAAATGGACCCTCAATTGTGATCTCAGTCAAGAACCCCCAATGCACATATCTGGTTCTCATTACCTGAACTCAAGTTTCATTTCTTTGATTTACCCATCTTATATGCAATTGGGACTATTCTTGGAAAACCTTTGCATGTAGATTTACCTACAGTTCATTTCTCAAGACTCTTTATTGCAAGGATTTTGATTGAATGAGATATTACACTACCGGATGTAGTAAAAGAAGTTTGGTCTGGATCTGCTCACAATGGTTATTGGCAAAAAATCATTATGGAACCAAAATCATACTACTGCAAGCACTGCAAGATGTTTGGACACTCGCAGGAGAAATAGAAATGGAGAAATGTTTCAAATTGCACCCACAGTTGAGAACTAATAGTCAAAAGCAGGAACACATTGTTAGTGCACCCCATGTGCCTGAACACGCTCTCAGCAAACTTGATGACAGCCAACCTGAGGAGGGAAACACCACAAGACAGGAGCTGGTGTTTGCCCATGGGATCCCTTCTCCTGACCATACTACAATGTATAATGTTCGAACTGAAAATCAGGATAGTCCCGCAGCTCCTATTCAAGAAGCATTAGGTGCAGAGGTAACAATTCACACTTCACATACACTGGAACTTATCGCGGTGGCAACGACTATCCTTCCTCCTACTGCGTTCAAACATCAAATCAGATGGAGGATCATATGAGTCAATCTTCAGATAAAGAATGACATGTTTACACTTCTCGTCGGAAGAAGAAACTTGGGGACTCACTCAAACTTGGAAACTTAATTGATGATACTTTGGTGACTCCTGGCAATGACACGACTCTTCAAAGCTTGTTATCTGGTTCTGTTCCTAAAACTAGAGGAAGAGACAGGACTAAACTGGCTCGTCCCTAGCTACTGTTTTTTGCATATTTTAATTTTTTTTTAGTCTATTTGTACCTTTTGTTGGAGTTTTTATGTATTTGTATAGTATGGGTAGCGTGCTTCTTTGGACTCTTCTCATACAACTTTTATGTATCCTTTTCTATTTTAATAAAATCAGCCCTTGGCCTTGGCCTTTTCAATATATATATATATATATATATATATATATTTCAGGTTCTATAAAGTTTTATTTTAATGGCTAACAAATTATACTAACATATTTGGTTTAATTAAGATATGCTTATTAGGGATTAATAAATTTGTTGCTATTTGTGATTCAGGTGAAAATGACTATCAGAGAAATTGTGCTGAACAACTATTTATTTAAGATTTAAAGATGTTTATAACTTATAAGCTATTCTTACTTTTTTAGTTGCTGCATTTTATTATGTTTTACACTAAAGATTATCAAATTACTCACAAAATAGAAAAATAAGTAAAAAGTTATGCATTGGATTAGAAAACAATATGTTATTAACTAGTAGAGCAAATCTATTGCATGATTGATGTATGAAATTTATTAAGCATCACAGTACATTATGAAACCATTACTTGT